CACCCTGCCTAATAGTAGGGCTAGCCCTAAATCAATGTATGGACCTTATCCCACGCTGCTCTCAGAAGTGGCAAGAAAGCGATATGAGCATCATTGCAGTACTATAGCGCTAGTATAAATATGGCACTAGCGCTATAATAGCGCTATGGATAAGCTCGCGCTATTGCAATGCCCGCTGAAACCGACATTCAAAAGAATGCGATTGATGTTGCATTCCGAGTGGTTTCTTGCTGGATTCTGAGCGACGTCGTGTAATCACACGGAACACTATAGCGCTATAGCGCCTGATTCTTAGTGGATTCTTGCTGCTTTTGGCCCCGTGGGATAAGGTCCTATGATGTGGCAGAGGGCAGGGATAGCAGTCAGAATTCTTCATTCATTCAGTCTCCACTACAGTTTGGGAAAGAATTCCTTTTGAATTACAATTCCCAGACTCTTCCAGAAGCCATGCTGACTGGAGGATACTGGGTGTTGTGATCCAAAAGAATAACACTTCCCAATCTCTGGCCTTCCAAACCTTCTAAATGTGTACAAAGCATTACATTTTTCTCTGCATCTGTAAAGTGATCTTCCAAGTTGTGTCTTGACAGTAAACGGTCCCAGAGGAGAGATCACACAACCCACTATTTAGTCAATAAAGGATAGTATATTATCAGTAACTAGTTAATAACATGGCAGTGCAGAAAGACCAGTGGGGAGCAATTTCCATTCTTCTGGGCCAAATAAAAAAACACATTGCCTCCTCAAAGAATTTACTGTGGAAAGAAAAACAGAGCCAGAGATGGCAGAGGGGGAAGACTTTTGCTCAAGGTCAAGTGATTGATTGGGGAATGGGTTTCTTTATGTTACAGTTCTTCTCTGTGCTTCACATTTCCTCCTTCAGTATGCAAACGGATCTCATAGCACCTTTGAGACTTAACAGAAAGATAGATGCTGGTAGAATGAGCTTTTCGAGACTTGAGCCTACTTCCTCAGAGGCATGTGGTGGAGTGGAAAGTCCAGAGACAGACCTATATGAGCTGGTTGTGTGTGAGAATGTCAATTCAATGTCCACCACATATCTTTGAATTTCCTTCTTCAGTGACTGTTCTAAGGGGGAAAACACCTCTTCTGAAGAAAGAAATGCCCCCACAGCTGGCCGTGGTTAAGGAGCATACAACATGAGAGGCAGTGCCCATACACAATGGTCATAAACTTGCACAGATGCAATCCATGATGAGGCAGCTGGTGCAGCTGTAACAGGAACAGTTGCAAATAAAATAAAATAATTTAAGAAAAACCTCTAGGCTATCTCAGGACTTAAACCAGGAGAAAAAAAGTCACAGGAAGATAAGATTAGGCCAGGTCTGATGAAGACAATAATATCCCCTTATAGAAGCCAGCACTAAGATCATGCTATTGTGGTAGTGAATATATTGGAGGAAGTAGATGTATATCCAGTGCATATTCAAGCCCTGACACCTGCAGTGCCAGCAAAGTTTCATCCCATAGCATCTTCCCATGCTTTCCTATGGTGAAAGTGATGACAGCCATGCTCTGATCATACCAAAAAATAAAATGAGAAGTATGTTCCTTTAGGAGCCGAGGTTCATGAGATCTTGTGCCCTACAAAGCTTGTTAGTCTTCATGTCCACACAAGATTCATTTTTGGTTTTGTTGCAAGAGACTACGGGCCCTTTCACACTACACAGTTATAGCACTATGAACTATGTGCTATGCAGTGGGGACCCCACCCTTGGTGGGGGGGGGGGGGCAGTGGCAGCCAAAAAGGCAGGCTCTATCTCAGGGGCAGGCAACCTAAGGCCTGTGGGCTGGATGCGGCCCCCAGAGGCCTTTAGACTGGCCCCAGGCCAGTCCTGGTGTGAATATGCCAGTTAGGCGGCTAACAACAGTTGCATATATAAAACAACCCCACAATGAACAATAATAACATAGTAAAACAAGTTAACCCCCCCCTTTAAAATTACATATGATGCTAAAAAATGTTTTAAAAATAATTGGCATATTCACACCAGTGATTATAAAAATGACAAACATAAAACATAAGAATCTAAAACATAAAAACATAAACAGATAAAAAGAGGGAGATAAAAAGGCGGAGGTACAAAAATAAAGTTTACTTAGGAGCTCTGCAGGCGGCGCAAATCGCTGTCTTGGAGCCAGGGAAGGGGAGGGGCAGCCCCAACCCCTCTCCGAGGACATCATCGGAGTGCCCGCTGTTGCACACGGTGAGCACTCCGATGATGTCCTCCCGGCCCAGCCTCTCCATGGGCTGAGCCGGAAGAGACGCGGAAGAGAAACGCAATGGCTCTTCTGGCGCCCTTTCTGGGGCTTGGGAAGGGAGCGCTATTTTAGCGCTCCTTTCCCAGCCACCAAAAGGGTGGATTGAGGCCGAAGCATAGTGCAGCCTCAGCCCCAATCCTCAGCTTCTCGGGGCAGCCCACGGCCGCCCATCTGTAGAAGCCCTTTATTTTACTTGAAAGTTGACCTTACACAGAAGAGCACTCTGTGGTCTCTCATATCCACCCTGGTAAGCTCCTTGTTCTTTGTGTCATTTTTACCACAGAACTGAGTGATCCGAGTTCATTGAGTCCTACAGCACAGAAGTGGGATGTTTCAGCCTTCCAGGTGTTTTGGACTGCAACTTTTATGCTGGATGAAGCTTCTGGGAGGCCCAAACATCTGGAAGGTCAAAGAGTCTTCACCCCCGACCAAGGCCCTTTGAAAGACACCTGTTATGATGTAGGCAACAAGACAATTTATTGAAACAGCTTTTGGGAAACAAATGAGGATGTGCACAAATTGTTCCAATATGATGATTTTGGCCTCATAAAACTTGGTGTCTATTCATTTTCCCCCATACATAGTCCATGATCTGATCCAAATGTGAGCAATATGTTTTGCTTGCATTATCACTGTGTTATCTCTTTGAACTGTCTAAACAGGTGGCGGCTCTACAGAACTGAGATCTTCATCAAAACAAAACTTTGGCAGCATCAGTAGGACAGAGCACAAGGAATTTCATGCTGAGGAAAGTGTCATCCTGTTCTGTTACACCCTGACCTCAATAACTCATAGGTGAAACATATATGACATAGAAACAAACAGGGGGAAAATCTTCAAATTATTGCACTTAACAACATGGCAATGTTGCACCAGTTCTGATAAAAAGTGTGGGGATGTCTCATTTACCTTACTCTAATCATCATAAGAGGATTTGTGATTGTGGTCTGAGATCCTCAAGTCAAACAGATTCCGAAGAAGATATTTATCCATCTATTTGTCTAAATTCCTATTTCCCCCCACCTATTCTATATTAGAAGAGGGCCTGTAGGCCAGTGCTTCCTAAACTATCTTATGTGCTGCTCAGGGACAGTTGCTCCAGTAAAAAGGAGCTTACTTGTGGTGTCCCTCAAGGCACCATTCTGTCCCCAATGTTGTTTAACATCTATATGAAGCCACTGGGTGAGATCATTCGGAGTTATGGGGCTGGGTGTTATTATACTGATGACACCCAGGTCTATTTCTCCATGTCTCAATCATCGGCCTTGAATTCCGATGGCGTCTCTTCCCTCAATGAATGTCTTAGGGCAGTAATGGGCTGGATGAAGAAAAACAGATTGAGACTGAATCCAGACAAAACGGAGGTGCTAACAGTAGCGGCTCTGAAACCAGAAATTGGGTTGCAAACTCGGGTCCTTGATGGGGTCACACTCTCCGTAAAGGACTGTGTTCACAATCTGGGGGTGCTCCTTGATTCGTCACTCCTGATGACAAATCAGGTAAATGCAACGGTCAGGAGTGCCTCTTATCAGCTTCGGCTGATACGCCAGCTGTGCCCTTTTCTGGAAGTAAGGGACCTCAAGACTGTGGTGCACGCACCGGTAACCTCACATCTGGATTTCTGTAATGCACTCTACATGGGGCTACCCTCGTGCTTGTTCCAGAAACTTCAGTTAGTACAAAACATGGCAGCCAGAGTGGTTTCTGGAACATCTAGGAGGGACCATATAACTCTGGTGTTAAAGTCCCTTCACTGGCTGTCTATTAGTTTCCGGGCCCAGTATAAGGTGTTGGTTATTACCTTTAAAGCCCTAAATGGCTTGGGTCCAACCTATCTTTGGGACCGCCTCCTCCCATACAATCCTTCCTGCGCACTCCGGTCCTCTGGGAGGAAGTTGCTACAGCCATTAAAATCTAGGCTGTCTGCAACCTGCCAGAGGGCATTTTCAGTAGTTGCCCTCAGATTGTGGAACGGCCTGCTGGATGAGATCCGTCAGATTACAATGTTAAACAGCTCTAAAAAGGCTGTCAAGATGGATCTCTTCTGGCAGGCCTTTCCAGAATAGACTTCCCGGCCTCTGGAACCCCCTTATTCTGTTTTATTCTGCCCTTTCAAATTTGTCACTGCTGCCATCTTCGCTATTCTGCTGTTTTTGTTTTTGTTTTGCTTTCTCATTTCCGCTGTTGCCATTCTTTGTTTGGATAATTTGATTTTACTTACGGTAATTCTATGTTTTTATTCAATATGTTTTAATTGTTTAGTTTAATACTTTTTTAAAGGGGTGGGTGGGTATTGGGTTTTAGGATTTTATACTGTGTAGTTTTACTGTTGTTAACTGCCCTGATTGTGCTCAGAGGGGCGGGATATAAATTATTATTATTATTATTATTATTATTATTATTATTATTATTATTATTATTATTATGTGGGTGACCAGCATTGCACACACACACAGTACCAGGGACTGGTACCATATTTTTACCCATTGGTTACAATTGTTTCTCTCTTTCCTGGAAACTTTTCAAGGATTGACAGCTGATGGCTCATGGATCAGTCTTAGTCCATGGACCACCAGTTTGAGTACCACTGTTGTAGTCCATCTAGCATTCCCCAACACAATGCTCTCCAAACATTTTGGACTTTGACCTTTATCAGCCCAAGCTATCATGGCCAATAGTAAGACATTATGGGAAGTGTAGTTTAAAACACTGAAAGAGCCAATGTGGTGTAGTGGTTTAAGTGCTGGACTACAATTCTAGAGATCAGGTTTCAATTCCCCGCTTGGTCATGGAAACCAACTGGGTGACTTTGGGTGAATCACACACTCTCAGTCCCAGAAAACACTGTGATAGGGTCACTTCAGTCACCATAAATCAGGAACAACTTGAAGACACACAACATGAAATGTAAAACATTACTCTAAAGAGGACATCACCAGGGTGGCAAAGAGAAATCAATCCCAATTCCTTAACTGATGCAGGAAATCCAGAACTAGAGCATCTCAACATATACCACCCTGTAACATACGCCTGTTAGATCTCTACTAGAGGAGCAGAGAACAATTTGTTCTCTGGTTTCTCTATGACAGGCCTTCAGGGATTTACAGAGTGCTATAATATTGTTGCAGAGCTATGAAAATTTATTCTTTTAGACTACAGCTTCCAGAGTACCCCAGGCAGTGGTTAGGCTGTCTGAGGGATTTTGACAGCTGTTATTCAAAAAGGTTAACTTAATTATTTCCCAAATTTGTTTTTCCCCCAACTGTCTTTGCCCTCCATTACTGTTTTCAATTTTTTTAGCACTTTCTTAAGTTCTAGCGCTCAGAACTGGACACAGTACTCCAAATGAAGTGGACCTGTTTGTTTTCACGACAAATGCAACCCTATTAACATAGCTCAAAATTGCATAAACTTTTTTTCTTTTTGCATCTACAACACATATTCAGCATATGATTTTCTACAAACCTGAGATTCTTTTCACATGTTCCAGATAGCCTAATTCTATACTTGAGCATTGGATTATTATTTTTTTCCAGCCTTGCATTTGTCGCTGTTGAAATTTGATTTTTGTTTTCCAGCCTTGTTTTCCATCCCTTCAAGTTCATATTGAATTCTGTTCCTGCCTCATGTCCTTCCAGTTTTGTGTTATCTGAAAATTTGATAAGGATTACCTCCGCTGATTTTGAAGAGTATTGGCTCAGAACAGGACTCTGCAGAACCTTGCTTCAAACTTCCTACCTCCATTTTATTAGCCAAAAAGGAACATTCTTTGATGGAGCTGAAAATGAGTGTGCTTTCAGAATAGTTTTCTAACCATCCTCAATGCTATCTCACATTATATTATCATACATTTAATTAGATAACTCACCAAAATATCATGGGGAGCTTTGTCAAATACTATTTGGAAATATGAGATTTCCATAATCCACTAAACTTTTTTTTTAATTAAAAAGAGAGATACAATTAGTTTGGCAGAGTGATCACTATTTCCTGGCCACAGTGAGATCATAAATCTGAATTGGGCAACTGTGCTGGAAATGGGCCAATTTTCATTTCCATCCACCCATTGTTTTGTTAATGTTCTGTTGATTTCAGCCATTTTCTCCCCATTTTATGAGTGCTAG